TTGTTCTCTGCTATATTTGTTTTCTACTGCTATTGTAACACATTGCCACAAAGTTGGTAGATTAAAGCAAAACAAATTCATTTAGGTCAGAAGTCCAGGTCAGCTCTGCCATCTAAACAAGGTGCCAGCTTGGGCTTTTATCCAACAAGAAGAGAATCTACCTCTAAGATCATCCAGGTCGTAAGGAATTCAGTTCTCTGTAGCCATCGGGCTGAGATTCAGTTAGAGGGTCTCTATCAGCACATGGTCCCTTCCATTTTCAAGCCAGCAGACCAGTTCATGATATCCTTCTTGTCAAGTCCTTCTCATGCTTCTCTGCTTTTAAGGGTTTGTGTAAATGAATTGGGTGTACCTGTATGATCCTCTGTTACACTAGCAAAGTTCCTCTTGCCCTGCCATGCTACATATTCACAGGTCATCTTTTCAGAAGATACCCAGCAGAGGAGCAGCTGGGTCAAACGAGATCTCTAGTCCCAGCTCTTTGAGATATCTCCACATTGATTTCCATAGTGGTTGCACCAGTCTGCACTCCCACCAACAATGGAGAAGGGTTCCTTCCTCCCACAACCCCACCAACATTTGTTATTGTGTGATTTCTTGATAGCAGCCACTCTTCTGGGGTGAGGTGGAATCTTTGGCAGGTTGAAACCCAGTTTTTCTAACACCATATAATACAGAGGCTATCTTTCCTCCAATGAGAATGGTTGGCTTCTTTGTCAAAGATGAGGTAGCTCAGTATGTCTGGTGTTGTTTCTGCATCTTCTAATCTATTCCATTGATCCTCGAGTCTGTTTCTTTGCCACTACCGTGCTGTTTTTATCACAGTGGCTTTGTAGTATAGTTTCAAGTTGAGGATTGTGATACCCCCCTCTTATATCTCTGTTGCCTAGAATTGCTTTTGCTATTTTAGGTCTTTCTGGTTCCAAATGAATTTTTGGATTGTTTTGTCAAGTTCTGTGAAATATTCTGTGGGGATTTCAATTGGGATTGCATTAAATCTATATAGAAGTTTTAGAAGTATGGCCATTTTCACTATTTGGTTCTTCCTATCAAGGAACAAGGGATGTCTTTCCATTTTCTTATATCCTCTTCGATCTCTTTTTTTCAGTGCTGTAGTTCTCAATGTAGAGGTCTTTTGCTTCCTTTGTTTGCTTGATTCCTAGATATTTTGTTTTTTCTTGGAAGGGGTGCTATTGTGAAAGGAATTATTTCCCTAATTTCTCCTTGGTGAGTCTTATTTGTGTAAAAGAAGTCTATTGATTTTTGAGTGTTAACCTGGTATCCAGGTACTCTACTGAATCTGTCAATTAAGTCCAGAAGTCTTTTGGCAGAGTTTTGGGGTCTTCTATGTAGAGAGTATCATATCTTCAGCAAATATTGACAGTTTAATTTCTTCCTTTCCTATCTTTATTGCTTTTATTTCTTTCCCTTGTCTAATTGTTGTGGCTAATGTTTCCAGAGCTATAGTGACATCCTTGTCTTGTTCCTGATGTTAGTGTGAAAGTTTTCAGTTTTTCACCACTTAGTATGATGTTGGCTGTTGGTTTTCATAGATAGCCTTAATCAGGTTGAGATAAAGACCTTCTATTCCAATTTTCTGTAGGGTTTTTATCAGGAATGGGTGTTGAATTTTGTCAAATGCTTTTTCTGCATCTATTGAGATGATCATATGGTTTTTCTCCTTAACTCTGTTAATACAGTGTATAACATTTATTTATTTACATATGCTAAACCACCCTTGCATCCCTGGGATAAACCCAACTTGGCCAGGGTGTATGATCTTGATAACCTAGAGTGTGGTCATCTTTGGGAGGGCTGTTCTGCCTATTGTAGATGCCATCCCTTTTGTGCATTCTTGGAGCTTCTGGAGTTACTATCTATATTTCATAATTGCTTTTATATATTTTTTATTTCTTTGCACTGGGATTCATGTAAATTATCTAATTATTTTAACTGTATCTAATCTAGATTTTTAAAATTTTTGATGACTATCTTTTTAACTTCCAAATTTTCAGATTGGTTCCCTTGCATGCCCATCTCATCTTGTTTCACTTAATAATTTTTATTCTTTTTAAGGGAAGTTATTCCTTTACTCATCTAGAATAGTGTTTCTCAAGCAGGAATGATTTTGCCTCTCAAGAAACACTGGGGAACATCTGAAGACATTTTATTTGTTACAACACCTCGGCACATAGAAGCCAGGAAAGCTGTTAAACAGTCTACAGCATGCAGGACAGAATCTAACCAAAAAAGAATTGTACAGCCCAAATGTCAGAAGTGCTGCTGTTGTAAAACATTGATCTACATCATTTTAAACATAAAGGTTTAAACTTAAATGTTTCAGTAGGCTCATTTCTTCCAGAAAGAATTCATATTTTAGTTCTTTGTTGACCATCTTTGCTAGCATTAGATTTCTCCATTATTTTGACATTTTGGTTTGCAAGCTCAGTGAAAGTTTTTTTTAAAAAAATTTTATACCTGTCTCTCTATTCTCTCTATTATCAGAATTGCACCAGTCATAAGGCAAGTCTCTTTTATAAAAATCTTTATTAGAAGAGGGTGGAGGGGGTGAAAGGAGAGAAGGGATATGGGGAAAAAATGAGACCCAAGATCCATCATGTAAGGGTACAAGATCCCAATGATGAATGTTACTGTACTGTATACTTAAAAAGTACCAATACACTCAATAAGATTAAAAAAATAATAATAAAATAAAAATCAGCCAGGCATGGTGTACACTCCTGAAATCCCAGGACTTGGGAGACTGAGGCAGGAGGATCGCTGTGCATTTGAGACCAGCCTGAGCTACATAGTGATTTCTAGGTCAGTCTGAACTATATAGTGAGACCTTGTCTCAAACAAAAAATCATTATTAGTACATGTTTGTAGTATTCATTGTGGGGAGTTGCTACATGTACATAACACTTTTTTTTGAGACAGGGTCTTGTTCTGTAATTCAAGCTGGCCTTGAATTCACTATGTAGCCCAGGCTGGCCTCAAACTCATGGTGATCTTCCTGCCTCAGCCTCCTGAGTGCTGGGACTGCAATTGTGCACCACCACACCCACCATATTTTAATTTTTTTTCATCCATTCACCTCCATGAGAACATTCAAAGGTTTCTGTCCCACGGTGATACTGGAATCCTGCAGATTGCAGACTCCAGGCTCATTTTCTTTCTTTCTGCCTCCTTAGCCCTGCAGTTTGTTCATCTCGCTAGGTCTTGGATGGCGAATAGCAGTAATTTACAGTATTTTGTCACCTCTTTCTCTCTTTCCTTTTTCCTGGTCTTTTGTGTGTCAGAGACCCTGAGCTCAGACCTTAGAGGTGAGCAGTGAGCCTGACTCTGAGTCTTCACTTGATGCAAAGCTCAGCTGGAGCTTCTACCCCATTCACTTTTTTGCATTTCTTTTATGAATCTTTTAATATCCAGTTTTCTGACTGGTTCCCTTGCATGTCTATCTGTTCTTGTTTCACTTAATAATTCTTATTCTTTTAATGACAGTTATTTTTTCATCTCCCTAGGCCAGTGGTTCTAGTACTAATTTGTATGTGTTTGGGGCAAAACGAAGCCAAAGTGTCACTTTCAAAAGATGGAGGTTGCATAGCCATTTTGCTACAATATTTATTTACAACTACCTCTTTCTAACAGATATTTGGTGTTCTGCACAAGATAAAAATGTATTCAACTGTACTTATGCAAGATGTTGCACAAGTCATGTACAGAACTCAATTCATTTCCTCTGAGAAATTCCATAAAACAGTTTGATAAGGCACATGAAAAACAAAGACTTGAAATGGAAACGTTAAAGCAATGTATGAATGGATACAACTCCCAGCAAGGCTAAATGATAAATACAGAGAAACTACTTTTCCAGAGTAAGGGCCTACTTGGAAGGGAGAAGGCTAAGCAGGAAAGAGCTCCTCTCTGATCATCTAGAAAGCTTTCTGGAGAGAAATGGGCTAGGATTTGACCACGTTTTCCAACTGTGAGCGGGCTCTCTACATGCAGCTTATTTCTATTTAATTCCATTCACAAATGTTTATTGTGATAGAATGCTAGAGAAACAGCTGAAGAGAGTCACCTCAGACAAAAAAAAAAAAAAAAAAAAAAAAAATCCCAGTTGAGGGTGGCAGGGAGAGACATAATTCTGTTTTTGTTTTTGTTTTTTGGTACCGGGGATCGAACTCGGGTCCTTGCTCTTGCAAGGCAGGCGGAGGAACCACTGAGCTAAATCCCTGGCCCCATAATCCTGTTTTGATGAGTGGATTCTATTCTATGGGTCTACACAGAGCTTTAGGGGGATCGGTTATGGGATAATCATTTACTGTTCTGCGTGACGGAAAAGGTTGCAAAGACAAGGCGATCCCTCTGCTGGGGGCTGCGTAGTGCATAGGCGTTCACCCTGCTGGTGAGGGTTAACCCTCTCGAGGACCAGCCCCGGACGAAGGCGGTCTGAGATTGTCAGGCACAGGTTTGGGGTTGCCTAGCTCCGGGCGTCTTCCGCTAGGGGAGGGCGCCTTCCGCCAGGGGTCGCTGTGGCCCCGCGCCGGGCTGGCCGTTGCGTTTCCGGGCCATCGAGGTCCAGATCCGCCATAGCTGCCGGGCGCGCGAGTCCCGCCTGGTCTGCCGCTCCCGTTACTGGGGCAACCGCAGCGCCTCCCGGGTACGGGCCCAGGTAGTCTCTCCGCGCC